CCATTACTTTCCCACTCTGCGAAGATTTTATCTATACGCCATACCGCCACAACACCTAATAAAAACAAATTTACCAAATAAATATAAGAAATATATTTCTATCGAAAACAAATTAAAACAAAATAATACCATTGGTGCATCCAGCGGCAATTTTAATGTGTCCTCCCCAGCTAATAGTCCAACAAAGTGTTTCAGGCATTGATAATGTACATAACGGACGAGCAAACTTCACTGTAATTAATTTAAGAAATTAACTGATTCTAAATATAGACAGCGTTATTTTAAAAAAACCAAAATACCAAAAAGCGTGTTTAAAGCGTTTTCTTTCACATTTAATTGCTGTTTTATACTTTCAGTGTGAGGCACCTCAAAAATTCTGATTTTTCCATCGCCAAATGAAGCAGCGAGAATACCTAATCGCTTCAAATTTTTACTATGCTCGTTTTCATCAAAATTCTATATGTTTTAAGGAGATTTAAATATATAAAGTCGATTATTATAATAAAACAGAAAATCCATGTAAAAGATATCACCTCATAAGCTCCATAAAAACACCATTTCATGTCATAGACACAACCATATTCATGACAAATGACCATATCCAATATTGGTTTTTCTGATTTGTTGTTTCTACAATCCAATCTCCAGATTTGTATAGAGTTTTCCAACTCTTTGGTTTGTATTTCTCCGATAATGCGATTTTCGTCTGCGGTACCTTTATATCCTCCTATTGCCAAGTATTGTTGTTCTAAAACCATATTTTTAGAATTTAATACAGAGAGACGGATGTATGTGACAAAATATACGAATTTTAAAAAAATTGAATTTACTTGCAGATGAAATCGAAGGACACCATTCAATACTCCAGACAGATCCGCCAAAATTGAGAATGTATCCAATTCGATGAGGAAGTTTATCATCTTAATATAAGGTAATTTTAATTGAATAAAAATTCATGATTCTAATGAGAAAGATAATAAGACTCACGTAAAGAGGTCGACTCATGTTGTGGTAATGTTATTGGTTTATTATCTTTAGAACCTATTATGATGGACTGAGGATCTTTTTGATATGAAAGATATTTTTTCCCTTCTCTAATAAGGTTTTTTAAGAAAGATCAATACACGAATTGATTGGTAAATTTGTTTTTATTAGGTGTTGTGGCGGTATGGCGTATAGATAAAATCTTCGCAGAGTGGGAAAGTAATGG